ATAATACTAAATAAAGAATACTTTATATTTGCTTTATTTCTGTATTATAATATATTCTATTTGTCATATAGAGAAAATAGTCAAAGTTTTTATTTTTCTCTTGAGTTTGACATATGTTATCCATCATAGGTCTGATACTTATATCATGATTTTCTCATGACTAATGTTACTGATTTGGAAAAATAAACAGTATTGATCCTTTGAAGGAAGTATGCCAGATTTCTTACTTTTTAGTAAAAATTTCAAGAAAAAAATCCAATAGTGAAGATGAAAAGAAAAACTAATTTGAAAAAGAGTTGTAAGAGTTATGCTATATAGAATATTATATTAAAACAAGTAACTATTTAGGCCTAAGCCCTTATAACATTTGACAAAGCTTCAAAGCTTATTTATTACTTCTTTGCTTGATAGTATTCATATTTTATTAAGAGACTTCATTTACAAGGATTCGAGTCTTTTTTAGCTCTTTTCAGTTACAACCAAACATGTAGTAAATAGCTTCCTTAGTTACTCCAAAGTAGAGTTTTGTTATATTTAAATATAATAACTACTGTATATAGTTTTTATAGGTCAGACTTTTGAAAAAAGTTGGTGTGAAAGATCATCAGAAAGAGTTATAAACTAAACTTTTCAAAAAGCCAAACTACAGAAAAATGATATAGTTAATATATTAAACTTTATAAAAACTTTTTTAAAATACTATACATATATAGTTGAACATTGAAATAGAATTAAAAAAAAAGTTGCAGCTTTGTGGTGATAGTTTAAATGCATTTTGGAACTATAGAAGAAGTAGTTAGTGAAAGCCAAAGTTTTTTTTAAGTAAACAACAAAGTTGGATATATTAGTTCTATACAACTGTAAAATCTATAAAGAACACTTATAAAGATCAAAAACTTACAAAAGTTACAAAGTTGGGTCACCTCTCACCTTTACTTTGGTTTAAGAAAATTTTATAAAAGTGAGTGATTTAGCTTACCCCTTCTAAAGATCGATATATAAAACTACCAAAACAGTTAGCAGTGTTTACTTCCTAAATGAGTTTGTTGATAATATAGTTCAGAAACAATACAGTAATACAAACATGACTATACACATGCCTCAAAATACTAAAAACCTGAAAATACTATCTTTAGACTAACTAATGCTCTATACTGACCCTCTATGATCAAGTCAAAGATTTTTTCTTTTTACATAGTTTTTTATTAAATAATCTAAGTAAATAGAAAAATAGTAGAGTTATTTTTATTTAGTATAGTTTATAATTTTTGAAGACCTAATACAAACATATAATTGTGACTGTTTGATATTTGTGAATTGTAAGTTTTACATATTTTCTTTTTTCTTATTTATTGTTTTTCCTCTTTTATTTCTTAATTTGTATCTTTTATCATTTATCTCTATATCTCTTTTTTGTTTTTTATATAAAAAAATTTTTTTTTATTTTTTGCTTTGCTACAAAAAGATATCATCAAATTGGTAATGTCCTATTGTAGAGCAACAGTTAAATAAGCAATCTATCTCTAACTGAGATAGTGTAGTAGATCATATTTAGATACCATCTGGGTGACTGAATAATGCTAGACTTATATATCAGGAAAATTCTATATAATCTGTATAGTTTCAAGAATTCTGATAAAGTATTAGCATAATTGCTAAAGTTAAAAAAAAAAAAAAAAAAAAAAAAAAAAAATATATATATATATATATATATATATACTATACTAAAATCTACTTTGTAACAATATATACTGATAGCATTACAATATTAAGAAATATTAATAAAACAATTCAAAATATAGAAGATGAAAATATTATAAAGAGGAAAAATGCAATATAAATAATGAACATTATAGGTCTTATCAAAAACAAGAATATAAAAATAGAAATAGTTAAAGTTAAAAGTCATAGTAAAGATAAATAAAATAACAGAGCAAACTTTCTTGTAAAAAAAAAAGCAACTTATGAAAATATAATATATACAAAAAGAATTAGTTATAAGTGATGAAATAGAATACCATCTGGAATAAAAAAATAAAAAAATCAACATATTAGCAAAACTTCTGTGTAAAATAATAGTGAATGCCAAAATTGGAACCAGTTGAAGAGAAACAATCTAATAAAAACACTAGAGCCAAAAATAAAAAATGTATTATATAATTGAATAAGTTTTTAGAAAGAAATAAACAAAACAAAAAGAGTTTACTGTATATTAAGAAAACTTATCATAAGAAGAGTTATAGTAATTAAGTATATAATAAACAGATTACTAATATTTGAAAAGTTAAGCAGAAGAAGTTCAGAAGTATATACAATTGCAGAATGCCAGATATGCCAAATTAAAAAGAAAAAAATACAAACATATTTAGCAAGTTGTAGTGAACAAAGAAGTTTGTAGAAATAAATTCAAAAAGTTGCAACAATAATAGCATAAAATAGGTTTAAAGAAGAAGAGAAGAACAGAATCCCATTACGAATCTTATATGAAATACTATTTGAAAAATCAGAAGCTAAAGAATTTAAAAACAAAGAAATGCTGATAAAAGAACTCATGAAAATAAAAGTAGAAAAGAAACTTGAATGACTTCTAAGCAAATAAGCAATACAGAAATGCATAGATATAATAATAAGAATAGTATGAAACACCTTCTATAACCAAGTATAGAGAGTCTAATATGAAAAAACACAAGACTGAGAAAAGAAGACTAATATAACAAACAAGATGAAAAAGATGTTTGTACAAAAAAAAAAATGAATAAAAGAAAGAAGAAAGATAAACAAACAAGAAAAAAAGAAAAATAAAGAAAAATAAAGAAAATAAATCAAATAAAGAAAAAAGTTTTGAAGATAATCAATATGCTTATTATAGAAGAAAAAAGGTCCTTCTAGTATGACTTTAAGTAGTTAGACAAGTATTCTATCTTTAACTAAGATAATATAACAGGTTGCACTTAGGTATTATAAGGGTGACTGAGTGATGCTAGACTTAGGTATTGGAAAATTCTATATAATTGTATATGTATAGAGTTTTAAGAATCTTAATAAAATACTAATGTAACTGCTTAAGGTTAAAAAAAAAAAAAAAAAAAAAAAAAAATAAGCAGTTTAATTATTAAGACTTTACTTTTTTGATTATAATCTATAGATATTTCTAAGTCTAAAAGTTCAATAATTCTTATAAAAGATAAATATTTTGATTAATTATAGTCAATACAAAAAAGACAATAGATAACAATCTTCAATATATATTTAACTTTTATAATATCTAGAAGATTATTGAATTTAAAATTTTTTTTTTTTTGATGTTAAAGTGACCTCTTTGATCTTTAAATTTTATTTTTAATTATTTGTTTTTTATTTTTCTTTATTGATTTTCTTTAAATAAAAGATCTTCTACTTGACACTCATGCTATTTAAAGTTTACTACAGCTTGCTAGTTTTTAGTAAATTTATTACAATATTATTCAAAATAATAATAAAAAAAGAATCAATGTTTACAATATAAAAACTAAAATTAAATTATCAATTTCAAAGAATAATCAAGAATCTGACATGACAATTATAAAATTTTATTTTACAAAAAAAGTTTATTTAAAGTTCAAATATTTCTAAAGTGATAATAATAATGAAATAAATTGACTTAGTTATAAACGTTTTTTATAAAGGTTAGGTACATTCATACATGCTGCATTAATTGTATTTTTTGATATCTATATAACCCCCGTTAACCCTAACTGAATCAAAAAAGTAACCCTAACTGGTACTTGGCTCCTTTTTATAGTAATAAATAAAACACATCTTTGAAATTATTACAGTATTAACTTATTGATCCAACATAGAAAATAAAAAACAAATGCTTGTAAAAAAAATCGAATTTGCCTACAAATTTAACCAAAAAAAAAAACGTATAAATAAAATTTTAAGCGATTTATATTATTCATTAAAAAAACCCTTTTGATATTTATTGGTTGATAACAGTTCATAAATACGCTAAAGACATTTTCTGGTTAGTGATCCGGATCACATAATAACATGTACCCGGCAGATATGTCCGGCTACCATTTTTTGCGGGCGACGCTAAGGTCGTTCCAATTGATCTCGTAACTCACGTGAACTGAAAATCAATCCTATGCCTTGGCGCTGTTCTGTCGTGCCCCAATCCTAATGTTATGACATATAAGGTAACAGATATATGTAACGTACGTACGTACGTACATAACTAGATTATCTCAAAAAACACTGATCGTGTATGTATTGTTACAATTCTTCGAGAGTCAAAGTTCAGCACAGCGAAAACTTAAATATTACAAGTTTTTGCTCTCCGACACTCATATGAGTGCTGCTAAGAGAAAATGAGAAATCAGACTTCATGTATCAGACTAAACCCTGAAAAATTTGATCAGCAATATATAACGATAATGAAATCGAACTTCAATAGATAATTGAAAGCGCGGTGTCCATCTGGGCTGATTTTTGGAATTTTACATTTTATCTACCAGTCCGTTTTAAATGGAACAACTACCAAAATAGACTGGTAGATCAAGATAAAATCAGCCCATATGCTCATTTTCTTAAAACGCATTCATCTCTATCGCCTATTGGACTATACCTAATTTGGATAATCATAATACATCAAATTATCCGCCTGGGTTCTTGTGATGTGTACCGTGTGATGAATAGTATCGACAAAAACATTAAGGCAATAAATATATAATGTGTTATTATTCATCACGTAATTTAGCCCAAATAATTTGTAGTGCTGAATCTACGTATTAGTCTATTAATTGTACCGCACTAGAATTTATTACGGGTTCGAGTTTAGTACATAATAAATGCCATTTTTACCTTTTTTTTATATCAAATTTATCGATTCATCGTTATGTGAATTTCTTCCCAAATTTTCACGTGTAGATCTACACAATTTGTCCAATCAAACGACCTTCTTCCAATGATGAATATTCGGATTTTTATTTTTTGACCGGGTAAGACCTCTAACCTCGATGTTGTCAAGTTCTAGTAAAACCTTAAAAAAAGGGAATCTTTCTGACATTTCTGATAGACATTCTTCTTCTACCGTAACAAGAAAATCGTCGAAAAACTCGACGTCAACCAATGATACAGCAACAAATGAATCTTATTCGAGTTTATCACCTGAAACTCAAAACATTATAAACTCAATAAAATCAACTGAGAAAAAAAAAACAAATGTCTCACGCGCTATGGTAGAGGAAATTTTGAGAGATGCCAAACTAAAGGCTGCAACTCGAGCTATTGAAAATAACCCTTCATCAGCTTCAACGAAGAAGTTAGATACTTCTCGTTTGGTTGGCACTAAATCGATGTCCTCTGTTGGAAATTCATTAGAAAATAAATATGGTTTTAATACATTATCCACATCAGATCAAGTTGAAAAAAAATCGCAACTCGAACAAAATCAAGATTCTTTCTCTAAAGATGAAGTAGCTGAAAATTCTAAAGCGCAGTCAACAAACCGAACTTATTCACGTTTATTCCCAACTCGTTTGGCAAGCTTAATAGGAATTAATACCGGAATAGATTCATCAAAAACTGAATCAAAACTTGAATCTACTGCCACAACAGATGATGTTACTATACAAACAGGAAATAGTGCTAATCATGTGACTGGTATAGATACTTCTCGAAATATTAGTCAAGTCAATGATGATAATAAATTTTCTCATATTATTGACGAAACCAATGTATCAAAATCTGCATCGTCTAAAGAGCCTGAACGTTCAAAACAGGGATCTAACATAAGTGTTGATACAAATTTAGCTAGAGTTCCTCGAAAGGAACAGAAATATGTAGTAAGATCCACTTCCTCACCTCGTTTTACAAAAAAACGTGGTAAAGTTATTCGTCGCTCAAGCGCCAAAATCGTACCAAAACATGGATCAGAGACATCGGAGGATTATCAACGTGTATCAAAATCACCCGTCAAAACAGTTGAGATATCTAGCGAACTGGACGAAATAAATGCCCAATTTCAAGAAACTCTTACTGAATTTTCAAAAAGATATCAAGATTCAACTGTCGCACTCGCAGAAAAGTCTTATCTTTTGAAGAGAAATCAGGAATTATGGCATACTGTAGCAGCCAAAGAGGAGGAAATAGAATATCTTAAAAATGAATTATGGCAAGCTGGAATCAAAATTCAAGATTATGAATCTGATCTTAAAGATATTATCGAACAACAACAAGAACCTCTTACACTCACTCAAGAAGACTTAATACGTATCGAAAGGGAAATAGATGATCAAGAAGTTTTAATCAATGGATACCAAGGAGAAAACGACAAATTGGTTGGTGAGATAAAGAATTTAAATGAAAGATTACGAGTCACTGAAGATGAACGAGACAATCACTATAATAAAATTAACGAATTATATAAAGAAATTGAACAATTGAAGGAATCTTTACATGAACAGGAGACTAAAGAATTAGTTCCAGACGGTACTATGCGACAAATCGAAGATATGAAAAAAGAAATTGAACGTTTAAAAGAAAAGGAATTATCCTATGAGTATAAAGAACTTGCTCTGAAGGAAATGGATGGATTAAAAAAAGAATTGAGCGCACTCAGAGACATAGAGAGTGAATATATGATTAAAGTTGACGATTTGGAGCATCAATTGGCTGAAGCCAATGAAGAAATCGAAAATGTTACACGATCTAAAACAGAATCATTGGAAAAATTGACTGAAGAGATGAATATAATGAAATATAAGTATGAATCACAAATTGAGAGTGTGAAAAAAGAATCGATTTCAAAAGAAGGGAGAGAAACTCGCTTTCGTAAACTACAAAATGCTCTCGAGAAAATAGAAATAATAGCGGGCTCAAATCCAGAGGTGACTCAGGCATGTACTGAATTGCGAAGAATCAATCTCCTTCCACCTAAAAAGAGGCGTAAGTCAGCAGCAGATGTATCTAAAGACATATATGGATACAATACTAAAGAAGCACGATCAACCCGTTCACCCACAACCAAAAATCTTAAAAGAAGCCCATCTCAATCATCATTGGGCCGAAAGTCGCGAGCAAGCTCTGTTAGCCGTACCGTGAGTCCTACGCCATCTGTATTATCAAGCGTGAGCGCTTTTAGTAGCAAAGACCTTCAGGATGAAGAAACTTTATATAGCAGCGAAGAGATAATTGAATTAAAAGAAAAGGTCACAAGACTTGAGGAAGAAAACAAAGTCTCCAATGAGTCAATAGAAAAATTAGAAGAAGAATTGAAGCTACTCAATGAAACAAAATCTAAATTTGAAGAAGAAGTAAATAGTCTAAAACAAGAAAAGGAGAAGTGCGATCGTAAAATGAAAGAGATGGAGGAATTGTTGTTAGAACTTCCTCCGGGTGAACCAGAAGATAGCGATGAAAGTGCTAGTAAACAGATGTTATTACCTAATCCTCAACCAGTAATTCCTCCACAAAACTTAATTCAAGAATTAGATAACAAACAAAACATCATTGAAGAATTAGTAGGAAAATTGAAAAGAAAAGAAGAACAATTAGAATATTATCAAAATGCTTATCTTGAAAAAGCTGAGGAATATGAGCAATTAGTTGAGAGAACACAAGCCGCCGCAACAACTCAAATAGTACCTAATAATACTACTTCAGAAGGAGGAGAATCTAATAATGTTGATGGCATTAGTGATCCATTAAAGGTTATTACTGATGTATCGTCTACTAATGAAATCAAAGACATTTCCCTTGCAAGTGATCTTATGGATTTCTTTGGTCTTGGAGATAATCAGGAAATTTCTGCAATTGAAAAGCTCATTGCACAATTGGAAAGAACCATTGTCGAAAGAACAATGCAGAGAGACGCAGCTCATCAACGAGCAACTGATGCTGAGACAAAACTTTTGGCACTATCAAGAGAAAAAATGACATGGGGAAGTGGATACGATACAACAGTCAAGAAGCTTAAAACACAGGTTCAACATCTGCAGGAGTTATTGCAGATGGAAAAGAAAACGGCAAGAAAATCATTATCGAACGGTTCTACACAGGATAAAAATGATAATTCACATGAACAACCGTTACAAACGGAACATAATTCAACGAGTGATCAACCTCAATCCACAAATGATTCGACATGTGACTTGAAAGATCTTCGCAATCAAATCGAGTTGTTGACCGCTGAAAATAAGAGCTTAAAGGCCCAATTGACTACTTCAGAAGCCATAAGACAGGCAGTTCACGAGAATACTCTAACTATATTGCAACAGGCCAACAAGTCTTCTCATACTACCGGTGAAAATGCGAGTGGAATAAGAAAATTAGCACTTGAAAAAGAGGCGGAAGTCAGTGTTTGGAAAGGTCGATGTGCTGGGCTGGAGAATGTAATTGAAAGGCAGCGTGAACTTCTTTCAATTATTGCTCCTATATCCGGCAATGCTATTACAATCGGAACTAAAAATTTGACAGATGGTAATGGAGAAATAAAAAAACTTTTCGAGAACGATGGTGTTGATGAAAACACACTCACAGATCTTTCAGAGTCCGCAAAGAAACTGGTTCAACAACTTCGAGAAGAAAACGCGTTATTACGCAAAGCACTCCCAATATGTCAACAACAAATAAGTAAAAACGAAGATGACCCACCAAAATATACGCCACCATTGATGCCCTTTTCATCATCTACACCTACATCAATCCAGCTTGATGCACTTGCATCACAGATCTCTGAAATGGAGGCTCGTTTCTTAAAACGCGAAAAGGAATTGCAGGATGTCATTGCTGAAACCAAACGGCAAGGGGAATTACAACTAGAACGATGGAGTACTGAGTGGACCCGGATATCTAACAAGATATCCGGATAGACATTCTATTTTATATTTCTTTGAATTTATTTATAAATAGATGTTTATTTAGTTATTCAATTTTAATCCAAGTTGTATCCAGCTTACATTATACATTAGTTTATTGCGGATTTTGATTTAATAACGAACAAACATGTCTCTTAATTGGTTCAATTAAGATATTAGCACCAGTTTATATATTCAACTTCCATAGAAAATCACTGCCATATTCAAATTTCACTTTTATATTGTTATATTTGTAAGATACTTTGTTATATTTTGCTGAACTAAATAGAGCAATTTTTCTTTACAAAATACAGTATTCGCAAAAAAAATTGTCAATTTAGTTATCAATACTTGCTACTAGTAAAATTTTATAAATATATAAATAATACGTGTATACATATTTTAATTAAACAGAATATTTCTTTTTATAAAGGTTTAAAGGTAGAGGGTAATATATTGAAATTATATATAAACTCAATGGTAAAATTTTTTTATATTTAATTTTATAAAA